TATAGGTCCCATAGCGGTAATGCCGAAACAGACCGACTCATCGACCACGTCCAAATGGCTACAGATTCCTTGCTACAACAGGTCCCATCCGCAGAGATCGTGATCCTTGGCGATTTTAACGCCCACCATGCCGAATGGCTCGGTTCACGTTTAACCGATCATGCGGGGAGATCTGTTTATGACTTTGCTTTGGCATATGGTCTGACACAACTGGTTACTTCGCCTACACGGATTCCAGATGTGGAGGATCATACACCTTCCCTGTTGGACCTTCTGCTGACCTCTCATCCGGACGGATATCAGGTTTCCGTCGATGCCCCTCTCGGCTCTTCGGACCATTGTCTGATCCGGAGTATGGTGCCACTCACGCTCCCTTCGCGGTTGCGTTCTGCAGGTTGCCGCCGTGTTTGGCATTATAGGTCGGCGGATTGGGACGGAATGCGGTCTTTCTTTGCATCCTACCCATGGGGGCGTGTTTGCTTCTCGCCGGATGATCCCAGCGCTGTTGCTGACTCTGTCACTGATGTGGTGCTACAGGGAATGGAACTATTTATTCCATCATCTGTGGTACCCATCGGAGGCAGATCTCAGCCTTGGTTTGGTCGCTCCTGTAAGACTGCATTGCGCAGAAAGCAGGAGTGTTATCAAGCCTGGGTTGCGGCTTCGGTGACTCGGGATGTAAACACCAGCACACTTAAAAAGAAGTATAACTTCGCCTCCAGGTCCTTCAAAAGAGTTATTGCCAAGGCAAAGTCTGAGCACATAGGCAGAATTGGCGAGAAACTAGTTCGCCTTCCTTCGGGAACCCGTGCATTCTGGTCTCTCGCCAAGGCTGTCCAAGGGAATTTCTGTAAGCCATCACTACCATCTCTGCACAGGGAGGACGACTCACTGGCCCACGACGCAAAAGAGAAGGCCGACCTTTTAGGCTCCCTTTTTGCGTCCAACTCGACTGTTGATGACGGGGGGAACACACCGCCGACCATCCCGCGGTGTGAGTGCTCTATGCCGGATGTGCTATTCTCACAGCGCTCGGTTCGCAGAGCACTCCTCTCCCTTGACATCCACAAGTCGAGTGGGCCTGACGGAATCCCCCCAATTGTGCTGAGGACGTGTGCTCCGGAGTTGGCACCGGTTCTAACGCGTCTTTTCCGGTACTCCTACTCCCATGGCGTTGTCCCGAACTCATGGAAGACAGCTTTTGTCCACCCGATCCCTAAAAAAGGCGACCGCTCAGACCCGTCCAACTATAGGCCTATCGCGATCACCTCCTTGTTCTCCAAAATAATGGAATCCATTATTAACTGCCAGCTCATCCGGTACCTTGAGGATCACCAGCTGATCAGTGACCGCCAATACGGTTTTCGTCGTGGTCGATCAGCTGGTGATCTTCTAGTCTACCTGACCCATAGATGGGCGGAGGCAGTAGAGTCCAAGGGGGAGGCGTTGGCCGTTAGTCTGGACATTGCGAAGGCCTTCGATCGGGTTTGGCACAAAGCGCTTCTTTCGAAGCTCCCTTCCTATGGGCTTCCCGAGAAATTGTGCAATTGGATCACCAGCTTCCTTGCAGATCGGAGCATCAAGGTCGTTGTAGACGGTGCATGTTCTGACTACAAGCCTATTAACGCTGGTGTTCCACAAGGCTGTGTGCTATCACCAACGCTGTTTCTTCTGCATATCAATGATATGTTGCTAACTGGTAACATTCATTGCTATGCGGATGACAGCACTGGTGATGCTCTATACACCGGCCGGGCCAATATTTCTCGGGAAAACGTCGCCGAGTACCGGAACAAACTTGTGTCTGAAGTCGAGTCTTTGCTGGACAAAGTCTCGGATTGGGGGCGACTAAATCTAGTCCAGTTTAATCCTCAGAAGACACAAGTTTGCGCGTTTACCGCTAAAAAGAACCCCTTTGTCGTATCTCCTCAGTTTCAAGGCACTCCCCTTCTTGCCTCAGCCAGTATCGGTATCCTCGGAGTCGACATATCGAGTGACGTGCAGTTTCGTGGTCACTTGGAAGAGAAGGCCAAATTGGCCTCTAAAAAGCTTGGCGTGCTCAGCAGAGCGGGACAGTATTTCATGCCGGCACACCGCCTGCAACTTTACAAGGCGCAGGTTCGGCCTCACATGGAATACTGTTCCCATCTCTGGGCAGGGGCTCCCCAGTGCCAGCTCCTTCCACTTGACCGCATCCAGCGCAGAGCGGCTCGAATCGTCGACGACCGAGCCCTTTCCGATCGGCTCGATTCATTGGCACTGCGAAGAGATGTTGCATCTCTTTGCATTTTCTTTCGCATCTACCATGGGGAGTGCTCTGAGGAATTGTTCGGATTAATCCCAGCCGCCAAATTTCATGAACGCACATCGCGGCAGAACTCCCGATACCATCCACACCATCTGGATGATTGGCGGTCCACCACTGTGCGATTTAGAAGATGTTTTCTTCCTCGCACGACTTCTTTGTGGAATCGATTACCATCAGCGATTTTTCCGGACCGATACGACTTAGGGACCTTCAAGAAAAGAGCCTACTCCTTTTTGAAAGGCCGGCAACGCATCTGCAATTCCACTGGTGTTGCGGTTGTTCATGGGCGGCGGTAGTCACTTACCATCAGGTGAGCCTCATGCTCGTTTGCCCCCTCTCCTATAAAAAAAAAAAAAAAAAAAAAAAAAAAAGTATATTTACGAAAATTTAATGTATGTTCACAAAAACAAAGATAGTTTTAGTAAAAGAAGTGATATACATTCTGTAAACACTAGGAACAAACACAAGCTAGTGATACCAGTTTCTCGACTCCACAGAGTCAGTAATTCATTCTTGGGGCAATGTATACGCTATTACAACAAGGTCCCGGAAAGTGTACAGGTTCTCTCTATTACCAAGTTTAAATGTTTTATTAAGCTGAAACTGTATAAAAAGGGTTATTATAGTATAGATGAATACATGGTTGATAATAACCCCTGGGAATGAGGTGATCGCTTCCAAGCAGTTTCTAAAATAAATTTTGTAAATAGTTCGTAATCATTTATATTGTAAAATTTATTTTAAAAAAAAGTCCCGCTGGGTTTTTTGCTGGTTCTTCCCAGGACAGAGGGTTTTTTCGAACCAGTGGTAAAGTAAAAAATGACTTTCAATAAGAATTACACATGTAATGTTTATTGAATAAAAATATTCTATTCTATTCTATTCTATTCTTTTCCTTTCACAGCCACACTGTTGACCCCGACGTCATTTTTTTAGCTTTTTAGAGAAGAAAGCCAATTTGTGCGTTAGTAAGTAGTAGCTTTAGAAATACTAATCTTGTAGCTTTCAAGGATTCAAAGTCTTGAAGAAGGTTCTGGGTACTGGGATAGGTGTAGATGATTTACCACGTGCTCGGCGATAAAAGTAAACATCGTGAGTGACATGCAGGTCTATGTCTGAGAAATAAGAAAAAAATATTTCAAAGACATGTGATGTTCGCCAACACGCAATCGGGCAGCGCGGCGGACATTTCCTTGTCCTAAAACCCTTTCAGAAATGAGAGGAAGCCTGTGCTCAGCAATGGGACGTATATAGGCTGTAACTTTAAGTTTTTAACTTAAGATATCTATGGGCCAAAGCATCCACTTACCATCAAGTGGACTGTGTGATCGTTTATTAACTTTACTTCTTAATCATTCAAAAAAAGAACCTCGCACGCCTGCCACCATTTTGCATGACGACTGTTTACAGGTCGATAACCTTCAAATTGCATGACACCGCCACAAATGAATGGGTAAAGTTAAAGGGCCCTCCTCGTTATTATCATTATTATGTACCATACCATATTTGACGGCTCCGTGGCGCAGTGGCTTAGCAATGAGTTGCTGCGCTGGGGGGCGCGGGTTCGAATCCCGCACGGAACAAGTATTTGTATGGCCTACAAATGATTGTTCCGGGTCTGGATGTTTGTCCTTGTGAAATTTGTGTTTGTAAACTGCCTCCACGATACAGGAGAAAATCATAGTGTGGGGGTAACGTTTTTAAAAAGAAAAAAAAAATATGACATGCTATAAAAAGCAACAGTGAGTCTCCAGTTTAATCAGACATAAAACTTATTCAGTTTGCACAAATATTAAAATTCACTGACAGCAAAATTATTGCGAATAAAGTAAAAATAATATCAAATGCTTCAAGTGCACAAGAGTATCCAGATTGCTAAAACATCCATGATAAAATATTATCTTATGTTGAAACATATTTCGAAGAGCCACGCTGCATCTTTATATAACTGCAGCATAAATGGATTGGCTCGACCGGGATAGTACCACGCTCCCACAGAATACCAGCATGGAACAACAGACAACGCTGCAGTGTTTCGTATGGTGTGTGTAGAGAACAGGAAACCCTTTTTACTGGAAATGAGGCATTCCATCTTAGTCCTCACGGGTGACAACGCATCTGCATTTTGATTCTTCATCAATGGATGGATGTAGATGTCTATAAAAAAATAGTAGCCTATTCTCACAGCTTGGCATACGGATTTTTGAATGTAGGAAGAGACCGCTCTGCTTCACGGACTTGTCTTGAAAATATTTTCTTTTAAACTTCTTTGACGTGCAGGCTTCTTCACGATATTTGACTAATTGACTAAATTACCAAATTACCAAACTGATTATAATAAGAAGACAATGACATTATCTCTTATTTATTTTTATAAATAAAGAACCAATATCTATGACGTTGTGGACCATATACATTAACATGTATCCTTGATTACGAATCAAAATTTAGATGCGTTGTCACTCCTGAGGACTACGATGGAATGTCTCGATTCCCATAAAAAAGGTCTCCGGTTCACTATACTCACCATACGAAACAGCAACAAGTTAAGTTATGCTACTATTTTACGCTAGTGTTCTATGAGAGCGTAATTGCTCCCCGGTTGAAATGACCCATTCATGATACAACCATAAAAATTCATGGCGTCCTTGTGTACGAATTTCTAAGGAACGGGAGAGGGTTATGTACATACTTGCCATTAATCCACTGGACCCAAGAAAGACACTGTTCGTGAGCACTATCATGGCAAATCTCCTATTCTCTGGCGTGCACTCACTGAGCAGGGTCAGTGCTAACGCGTACGTCCCAGCGACACTGTTGACAAGAGCATAAAACTATGAGGCTTTCGTTTGCGCATCAGAGATCTTTATACTTGCTGGCATTTCTCTCACATTTCAAGATATTTTTATGATGCGTAGGTGACGAACGAATACACTCGATGGTAAATTGATGGTGTAACCCATATTCTCCTACATCTATCCTCTATTAGGAAATAAAATTATGTTGTCACCTTTGTGGACTAAGATAGTATGACCTATCAGAAATTAGGGGCTTTGGTTCCCTCATTCGAACAGAACACTAGCGTAAAATAGCAGCGTAAAGCTAATGTTTCATCGACCCTTTTCACTGATAGCTAGGCTTTCCATCTTAGTTCCCATTGTGATTCCTAATCGATTGTAGACATAGGCATTTATGGGTCTCAGCCTCCCCTTATCATATAAGTATATATATTCCTTAGTACGTACACTCAAATTGTCAAAAAAAGCTCTTTTTAATTAAGTCGTGATGATCATGATAAGTTGTCGTAGCTCAGGGGCTTAGTACTCGCTGTAAATTACACAATACGCGAGCAACCCGGGTTCAATCCCTCCCGGGTTCGAAATTTTTGGTTCCAATTTTAAATGCTGATTTACCACGTGCTCGACGGTGAAGGAAAAAATCGTGAGGAAACCTGCATGACTGAAAAATAAAAGGAAATATTTAGGGAGGCAAGTGAAGTGCGCCAACACGCATACGTGCACCGCGGCGGACACTTTCTTGCCCTGAAACCATCTTAGAAGTGAGAGAAGGCCTGTGCCCAGCAGTGGGACGTATATATACTTTAACTATAACTTATAATAAAAAGTAAAGGCACACTTAGAATAACTAAGAAGAATATAGTTATAGTATACAGTTCTTAACTCGTTTCTTTAATTATTTTTTGCACATGTCTTAGAACCACCTTCTGAAACAAAATTCTTTGAGTCGAGTTTTAAGTTTCATTAAAAGTTATTTTTATCGGGAATGATCACTCGTCTAATACAACTGCTTCACTGACTGACTTCCAAATAGAAAGTTAAAAAATAAGAACCTATCAGAATTCGACTTACCCACAAGAAGAAGCGAACTTCAATAAGACAAATACCATCCAATTCGGTGATAGAGAGGTGAGTGCGCCGGCAGTGAATCCGAGAGAGAGACACCAGCAGAGGATCTTGCGTCTCCCTTTAGTATCCGCTAAGTAACCCCAAAAATGTGACGTCACTATAATACCTGGAAATATAAATTATTTATATAGTCCATTATGATTTCTGAAATTTACGAAGATACCAAAGGAATTTTAAAGATTTAATATAAGAAAGGTAGGAAGGGTTCCTGCCAAGGACGATTTGTTAGACATAAACAAGGTTAATACTCTTTTAAAGAAACCCCTGCCAAAACAAATTTACTAATTATACCTGTTATACGATTATATAATTATTTTATCACAGCTTTATTATAAGTTTTGCAAATTTAAGCGATAATGGTCGCTAACCAACTTTAAATCGGTTGAGAGCCTAAATGGTCATTATTTCCATACATATTAGTGCGACGTATAATAATAAACATGACTGATTGAAACGAGTGATTCAAAGCTGGGTGTTCCTGTTTTTGTGCGTATTAAAATTGGTTTTTGATAGCCAAATTATTACATTTAGTATGTGAAAAAAAAATACATATTTTAGATACATTCATTCTCCTTACGATGTACCCGCTCCATACACGATACAATAAAATTTTCTCTATAGAAAAAATTACCGAACTACGTTCGATTTGCACGTTTTTTACAAGGCTAATTTCATTTTAAACAAGTAATAATGCTCCTTTTTTTCTATAAAAAAATATCAATTTATAGGTAATTCATTTTAGAATCGATTCCACCAGATTATTTTATTTCATAACATTTATTTAAAATATTATCGACTATTAAAGTGATTTCCGATCCGCGCGTCACACGGGACGATGCCGAGGTAAGACCTGTGCTAAATTTTTGCACGCGAGTTTCTCTACTGCTACGTAAATAATATTTAGGAAATAAAATAAATTGTAAATAACTATAGTTTTATGGAAGTTATATAGACTATAGGTAAACTTTTGTATGCGTGTTTATTTCTCATTGTGTAAATATTAGTTTATAACTTTAAAACAATATTTTTGTGACTATTTTGTAAAAATCACGATCATAATATGCGCGGCCCTACTCGATTTTTGCGACGACCTCTTGTAAATACCTAATGCGCTTGGAACACCCAGCCTTAAATTTAAATTTAACAGCAGAGACCCACCTCTCCGCTTGGCGTTCGAGGTGTACGATATGATTTTCAAAGACCTAATCAATGATACCACATGAGTAAAGAAACCTACCACAGAAGAAATTGGTAGGGTTGACACAGGAGGATAAAATTAAATAAACAAAACGTTTATCAGACTTTTTATTATGTACCTAAAATGTATCTATGATAAAATATATTTTTTTCAAACTACTTAAATACTCTAAATTAATTTTCATATTTTTTTGTTTTGAATAATTTGTTGTGCCTTTTTTAGTGGAACGGTAAATATTAAATGTAACTATAAAGTTTATTTCTTAAATAATCTAATAGAAAGCACTTACATGGCATATACAAGCTTGCACACGTTTTAATATATCACTATCAATGTTAACAATGTTCATTTCGAAATCAAAATATTCGCGAAATTTTTGCTCAAGCAATTCAACAAATGCAATAAATTTGTTGGTGGTTATGTATGAGATAGAATTTATATTTATTCTAGAATTCATATTTATTTCCTCGTCACAAACAGATACAGAATAATTAATAACAAACATGGTTGAACTATAAACTATAAACGAATTGAACCCTAGTTTGTGAGAGACTGTTGCTTAATAAAAATATTTAACAATGCCTATTCTATAGGTCACCAGGTCCCACCTGTCGGATTATAAATCTTTAAATTACACGTTACACGTTTGTAAATTATATTGAGGTCAAACTTTCATTTAATAAGTTATGAGAAAATCGATATTTAGTTAAAAGAAGGATTAATATGACAAAGCCAATTTATGGTGACAGAAGGATTTATATAAATAAACGGCCAATAAGACAAAGTGTATTAAATTTACAATACCTAATGTAAAACATTCGAATACCAATGTGCTGTTAAATGGGGAGGAGTAGAGTCTTGTGGATACCACTGTTTTTCTCGGTATTACTATTGACGCGAATCTTCAATAGGGCCCCCATATATCCAAATTAGCAAGCAGACTTAGTTCTGCAGCATATGCTGTAAGAAAGATTAGAAGTCTCACAGATGTTGAAACAGCTAGATTAGTGTATTTTAGTTACTTTCATAGCGTAATGTCTTATGGAATTTTGCTATGGGGTAATGCGGCTGATATTGAAGCTATATTTGTTTTGCAATAGAGAGCCGTACAGGCGATTTATAACCTAAATTGTAAAGAGTCCATCAGAGAAAAATTTAAAGAAATAAACATATTAACTTTGGCATCGCAATATATTTATGAGAATGTAATGTATGTGTATAAAAACATAAATAGCTTTAATAAGAATAAGGATGTGCATACTTTAAATACTAGGAACAAACATAAGCTTGCAATGCCAGTTACTAGACTCCACAGAATCAGTAATTCATTTATGGGGTAATGTATACGCTTTTACAATAAAATCCCAGAACATATTCAAAGTTTGGCAATAAACAAGTTTAAAAGTTTTATTAAAGAAAAGCTGTACAAAAAGGGTTATTATAATATCAAGGAATACATGAATGAAAATAACCCCTGGGAATAAGGTGATCGCCACCATGCTTGTTTCATGAAAAATCATTTAAAAATTGTATAAACAAAATTATTGTTAAGTGAAATTATGTTTAAAAAAAAGTCCCACTGGGTTTCTTGCTGGTTCTTCTCAGGACTGAGGTATTTTCCGAACCAGTGGTAAATAAAAAATGACTTTCAATAAGTATTATGTAATAATTAATATTGAATAAAAAATTATTCTATTCTATTCTATGTAATCACGTAGATACATATTTTCAATTTGAATGTATGCATATATAGATATTATAATTTTAAATAGTGTTTTATTGAGGATGTAAGAAACTTTGAGTAGATTTGTAAGTTAAAGATGAGCCAGTTTATTGTTTTATTTTCATTTGTGCTTAGGCAGGGGATAGATGGATAACAGCCTGTTTATTTTGTTGTAGATATAATTACTAAGGTTAGAACTGTATGATATAAGAACTATAGTGTCTCTTGGCTAGGCTGGATTTAACCGTTGTAGAAGGGCTGACTTTGTCCTTTATCTTTTTAGTAATGCTGAGATTGCAATCATAAGTTAATTGGGAATGCTTTCTGGTTATTATTTTAGTATGAATATTTTCCTAACGGTGAATACATCCCATAACCTGTACAGCTCCGTAGTAGCATGTCTAAAAGGGAGATTACCTGCAGTTTTAAAGATTGCTATTTGAGGTTTCTCAGCTTCTACCAGGTGAGTTTTAGCTGCACCACCCCACAATGCAATAACTGATTATAAAAAAATATTTAATATTAAAACGGTCAGCGTCGTACATGCGTCGCAGGGATTTAACAATATAACTAAATTTTATCAGTCTAGAGATCAAGGAATCGATATGTGACTTAAAGGTGAGAGTAGAATCAACAGTATTTCTTAGGTATTTGATGGATTCAACTCTCTCCAGCGTTTGACACAAGAAAGAAGTGTTATTTGGAGAGTGGCAGTAGTCATCAAAGATAGAGCCAGAAGTAGGTAAACTCGACTTCTTTAAGGCAAAGATCATGAATTTTGTTTTTGTAACATTGAGGTTAAGTACGTTAAAACTAACCATTTAATAACAATGATAAATCCTTTTTGCGCGAGTTCAAAGGCTTCTTCCGATGAGTCTCCATTGAAAAGGAGAGATCTATCATCATCAAAGGTAACAATTATCCCACAAAGTAGCTGGATCTCACACAGATCATTAATAAAAAATCAGAAACACCGTTGGACCTAAAATGCATCCCTAATGCACACCATAAGTAACTGAAAGCTTATTACTAAGAAAATAACCAAGCCTGATACTCTGATTACGGTTTGTAAGATAACTTGTAAATAGTTTTAATCTCACGCCTCGTACAACTACCCCTTCGAGTTTATTTAACAATGGAGTAACAGAAAGAACGTCGAAGACGTTAGCTAAATCAAAAACGATTGCTTCGTTCTTTTTCCTATTATCGAGACTAGAGACGGAAGACTAGAGACTAGATTAAAGTATTATGAGAAAATACGTTCATTGAGCTTATAAAGGTAAGAAGTTTTGTTAGGACTGATAAAGTAGGTAGTACTTATGAACCTGTCGTTGTTAACGCAGTCGCTGTCACCTCCTTTGTGGATTGGTTTAATAAGTGAGATCTTAAGAAGTCTAGGGAAGGTACTGGTTTCGAGGGCAGCAGTACAAATGTGGGTAATTAATTGGTGGTTTAAACAAAACTAAATTGCTAAATTGAATAAAGTCAATGCCTGCAGCACAATCAACTCTCAGCCCTTTTTTATTTTGGGAACTTCATCTTCATCAAAAGAATTGCTCACATAAAGAGGGCCAAACTTAAGTTTAAGTTACACAACCAATTTATTCCCAACTCCAGTAAAAAGTAGTAGATGGATTGACCACTGTAAGTCTTCCAAACTGAAATCTATTGCTGTATTTTGTAATATAAAACTAAAGTGACAAAAGAACTTGTAGTCCACCTGAAGGTAAGTGGTTACTGCAACCCTTAGCCAACTTCAACCAACTTCAAGCAAAACAGGCTACAGATACGTTGTCACCTCTCACCTCAGGACTGAGATGGAATGCCTTACAGTAATTTAACATTAATTTTTGGAAGCTGAAGATAGCCGGAGTTAACTATGAAATCAGAACGTCTAACACCTCAGTCCTTATATGATCCTGAGAGCTTTAAAGCACTTTAAGCGTCGGAAATGTAAAATAACTTTAAACTAAGCGCCATATATGACAAGTGAATCTGACTCGTAGTCCCTCACTGCTAGCCGTATAAAAAAGCTCAAAGTCGCACATATAGCTATGGAGAGAGATATTGCTCGGAGTATAACTGCGTGATAGACTTGGTAATGAGAATATACGCAGAGGTGTCAGAGTAACCGACATACTGATATAGCTAAAGTAGCAATGGGCCGTCCATATAGCTCGAAGAA